GGGCTTGGGGGTGCTGGTTGATGAGAAGCCGGATGTGACCCAGCAATGTGCACTTGCAGCGCAGCAAGCCAACCATATCCTGGGCTGCATCAAAAGGAGTGTGACCAGCAGGTCGAGGGAGGGAATTCTCCCCCTCTACTGCGCGCTCATGAGACACCCCCCCCGCAGTACTGCCTTCAGCTCTGGGGCCCCCCACACAAGAAGGACATGGACCTGTTGGAGTGAGTCCAGAGGAGGTCCACAAAGATGATCAGGGGGCTGGAGCACCTCTCCCATGAAGACAGGCTGAGAGAGTCGGGGTTGTTCAGCCTGGAGAAGAGAAGGCTCCAGGGAGACCTTAGAGCAGCCTTCCAGTACCTAAAGAGGGCCTACAAGAAAGCTGGGGAGGGACTTTTTACAAGGGCATGGAGTGACAGGACAAGGGGCAATGGCTTTAAACTGGAAGAGGTAAGATTTAGATTAGATATTAGGAAGAAATTGTTCACTGTGAGGGTGGTGGTGAGGCTCTGGAAGGTGTTACCCAGAGAAGTTGTGGATGCCCCATCCCTGGAAATGTTCAGGGCCAGGTTGGATGGGGTTTTGAGCAACCTGGTCTAGTGGAAGGTGTCCCTGCCCATGGCAGAGGCGTTGGAACTAGGTGATCTTTAAGGTCCCTTCCGTCCCAAACCATTCTATGATTCTATGAAAGCACATTGTAGTTACAAGCCAGAATTTCCTGATTGTTTTCTTAATTGTTTAGCGTATTGTTATTCATTGCATTCTTTTGCTGCTTTACTTCATACAGTGTTGGGACAATGCCGCAATAGCACTGAGCCAAAGAGACTACCAACTACTGAAGAGGAGCAAATATACCCTTGCGATACCTGTGCAGCACTTCATGATGTGAGGCTTACAACTTTACAGCAATACTTTAAAGATGTAAGTATTTCATATGAACAATACCACTTATGAAAAATTTGTGTAAAAAGGTAAAGGAAATTACAACTTAGAGTCCTCCTAGTTTCACTTTTGCCTTTAGTGAACACTTTGTCATGTTGCAGTAGTTACAAAGTGTTTATGTTTGACATGGTCCTTATTTTTAAATAGCATCTGACTTTCCCCTAGTTATATTTTTGGCATAGGCATGTAGTATATCTACAGGCTATATAGTCATTATACACGCTATAATGCAATGAGCAAATGCATCCTGCTTTCAAAAATTCCAGTCCTGATTCAAACATTAGTTGAATTAGCTATTTTTGCTTTCAAGTTTCCAGGTCACTACTGTGCTAAAAAAAAGTCTCCACATGAAAGAACTAATCCTTAAATTTCTTTTGGCATAAAAATGGAAACATCTGTTAGTGTCTTGAGTGTCTTGTTCAGCTGAGCTAAGCAATAAGAAGTCCTTTTGTTTATCAACTGTGTCCTTCCCAGTAAGTGTCCTTCCTCTAACAACAGATTTCAGAAGGCAAGTGAATAAATTCACTTAGATGTAAAAATTTTAAGTTATGAAACATGATCTAGCTTATTCTACTAGAAGAAAAAAAAAATATTCAAAAGCTACACACTATGTCCAGATTGGGCAAAACAGGGCAATTCTTTCCATAAAGATTCTTTTTCTGCTTTCTTAGCTGAAATTTGACACTTGCTTTCAGTCAGGGAGAAGAGTTCTTGCCTATTAAAGCAAAATTCACTGAAAGTTTTTATTTTTAATATGGAGAGGTATGACTAAGGATTAGGAGAGAAAATTTCATATACTAGATTGATAGGACTATTTTCAGAATCACATAGTACTCTGTAACCAATAATTTGATATAGGTGTGCTGTGCCCCAAGCACATGGGCTTGCTTTGGCATCTCCTTTATTTCTGAACTCAAGAGTAATAGAGTAAAGTCTTTCTGCAAAGACTTTGGGGTTGTTTTGTTTTGGTGATTTTTTTTGAGGTTTTTTTGTTGTTGTGGTGTTTTGTGTGTTTTGTTTTGTTTTTTTCTTTTGCAACTGCTACTAAGTAGCCTTGTTAAATACATGCAATAAATAATGCTTTTCCAGAATGAAACTTTTGTCCTGTGGGGCTTATCCAGGTATATCATATGACCGTACTAATAGTGCAGTCTACTAAATCATGCAGGAACCAGCAGGAAAGTAAGTAAGTTTTTCTGGTTCTGTAGCCTGAGAGGGTCATAGCGCATTATGAATGTCAGGTTGAGGTAAGGTAAATAGGAGCATGTCTTGTAGCTAGAAATTGTAGTTTTGTTTTGATTTCCTGCTCATATGCAGGAAAAAAACGAAGACATGCTAGGACATCTTTAGAAAACACAACTATCAGAATAGGTTATTCACAGTACCCTGGTGTTGCATCATACATTACAACCATCTTAGGGTGAGTCTACACTAAAAATTGTTCTCCAATTCTGGTAGCCATAAATCTTTTTCTGTTCTTTAAATGTATAACCAGAATGTACATTTCAACCTGTGTATGAATTATTTTTTTTTGAGAAATGGAGATTTAATAATTAGACTGAATATAGCTAGATATTCTGCAAGCAAATTTTCTAGTATTCCTTATCGTAAGTTTGCCAGTGGTGACTGTTTTTTCCGTTCATTATTTTCTGAGAACTACCAGTGAGGTAACTTTATTTTTGACATGTGGGCTATAAGTGCAGTCTTTGAATAAGGCTAATATTTTCAAAGCAATCCTAGTATAAAACTCAATTCACTAAACAAGTATTTGTTCTCTTTTCCCTTTATGATTTATTATATATAGTATTGTTCAACAAGTCATTAAAAACCCTAAGTGTTTACCTGAATTTTAATAACAGATTGGGGTTTAATTATATAACTGTGATGTTGTTATTTTGGTTACATACAAAACTGAATATTGGAGCAGAATCTTGCCCTTGTACATGGGATAACTTGTGCTATTGGAACAGATGGTAGACTTAGAGCCATCTTCACGCTATAATACAAGGGGTTCTTTAAAGAAACCGTTATCTTAAGTGACAAGAACTGCAGAAGTGTAACTTAAGTGCTTGGCTTTTCGTTGGAAAGAATAGCATAATCGCAGCCATGTAAGTTAGCATAAGTATTTACACTTTATAAAATAAAATGTTTCGTTATTTCCACAGCATGTGTCTTTTAATTAGATAGCATGCGAATAAAAGTCTATATATTTTTTTAAATCTTAAAATAAGTTGTGGTAAATACCTTTATAACTTTATTTTTTTTTTTTTTTTTACTGTTTTTGCTTTGTTTTAGAGTTCCTGCCTGCAAGCAGTTTCAATAGGCTGGGAAGGAGGCGTTTATGTACAAACTTGTGGTCACACTTTACACATAGATTGTCACAAATCTTACATGGAATCTTTACGGGTAAGTAAAACTAAAGATCATCTTTGTTCATTTGAATCTGAACTATTCTTAGTGAAATCAATTGGATTTATGCTGTTCAATTCAGAGAAAGAAAGACTGGGTTTACATGAACAGACAAGATGTTTTTATTATGTTTCAAGAACTGTAGATACTAAATCTCTTATTACATCTTGACATTATTAACAAAAGTACTTTGATTTTAGTTACTCTGATATATCAGAAAAAATACTTGACTAAATTAACCCTGTTAAAAAATTAAATCACTGGGGTTTGGTCTTTTTTTTTCTGGTATGCATATTCAGGTAAAGCATGTCTTACACTTTTTTTCATTTCTGTTTCATAGATTCCTATTTTGATGTTTAACATGTTTTAGAAATCACAGAGAAACTGGAGGAAAAAATCAGAGGGGAATTTTACAAATATAAACTTGCGCTTTTGGTTAATTCTTAATATGAAAATTCAGTTACAAAAAGTTAGATTTTTTTTTTTTAAATCTCTAGTTATCTGTGGTATACATTATGTATATACAGGGAGCTTAGAGAAATGAGTTAAAATAGTTTCTCTTGTGAACTATGCATTTTTTTTTTCTCCTTGGAAAATACTGTTGGGAAATGATTGCTGTATATGGTTTTAAAATACAGTTTATTAGTCAAGCCTCAGAAATTGTTGGCTAGAAAAGACATGCATTTATTTTCCCATGGTCTGAGTAAACACGGTAGTGTTCCATTAATGTTGCTGGCCTCCTTCACCCCCCTTAACCTCTTGCAGCCCAATTGCAGATCTTCTGAATGGCACCATAGAATATTAGCACAAGCTCGGCAGTAGTAGAGGTCATCAGATTGTAAGCAGTTATTTCTTTCTGTATTATTTAGTGTAATAAAATAAAGACTAAATTATGATTTCTTGTTGCATATGAAACTGCTTTTTTATTCACTGTTACTTCATGTGGTATTTCTTTAGTTTTAGGTTTTCGTAAATTTTGTTGATTTGTTTCCATTTTGAGAAAAACTATGAGCAATGCTTTGTGTTTTTAGTATCAGCATTGGTCCTACTGTGAAACTTACCTCTAGAGAAATCGGCAGCTGTGCCATCTTTATTGGATCCCAAGATGAATTATTCTTTTCTGTATGACTTTTAAAGATGCTTTCAGGGGTAATTGTGTCATCAAGATAATTAAGTTAAATCTGAGTTTTCATGGCAGAATCTCATTTTACAGAATTTTGGAAAAGTAGTCTTTTGCATCATATAGACACTGAAGTCCCTTTTCTGGTGGATTCTCACTTAAGCTCGAAATATACTGTTATTCCATCTCATTGTATTCTTGAAGATTTCTAGATTATTTAAGTGAACTTTTGATCCTAGCATGTGTTGCTACTACCTAGATGACTGCATAATAATTTTGACTATTTCCTAGCATTCTTAGTACCAAAATAATTTATATAGACTTGTGTTCATCTGGATAAAACATTTATTTTTACATAATACAGTCAGAGATCAGCATCCAGAAAGGTATGTGAAAGCCTCAGCATTCTGAGCTGATTGCTTGAAGTTTAAATTATAGTCACTATTAAGTTAGCAGTTCTTCTGGGAGTGGGAAACCATTGAGGCAATTCAGGAAGCCAAAGCAAGGTTGCTTGCCAGTAACAGGAGTACTCAGGAGATGTTCTCACTCCCAAACACGTAGTTCTGTGTCCATTTTTCTGACCCCTCATGATAAAGAAGCAATAATCAGGGTTTTTGTCATGCTGCCCTCCAATGGCTACTTGATTAGGTTTTTTTCAGCCTGTACTTCTGAGAAATATCTTGAAGTGTTTCTCATGACTGAAAATAAAACTGCCTTTTGAAAAATTAGAAGACCTTCTAAAGGGAGTCTCAAACTTTATAGGAATTGCTAGAAAGAGACGACATATGTGAAATGTTCAAAATACCCCATTGAAGTATTTGTAGTTTATTACGGGGATATTGTTGACAATGAAGAGTACTTAAAAATTAGGAAAACTAGTTAGGTTGGAGGATTGTAAGGCAGTCTCTAGTAGTTAAGACCTTTTCCACTAAAATGAGGAGCTATTCATATTTTTCTTTACAGTTTTTAGTTTTAGGCTTAGTTCTTTAGCTGTACACCTGAAATATCAAAATAAAAAATTATAATCTTTTGCAAATTTCAGCTACATCTTCTTTATTTTCTTTCAGAATGACCAGGTCCTCCAGGGTTTTTCAGTGGACAAAGGAGAATTTACCTGTCCCCTCTGTAGGCAGTTTGCTAACAGTGTTCTTCCTTGTTATCCTGGAAACAACATGGAAAGAAGCCTTTGGCAAAGTCATAGTAACAAGTGTATGCAAGATCTTGTACAAGAGGTGGAAGATCTTCAAGAACAGCTGGGAACTTTCCCAGTAAGCATCAGTGTAAGGCAGAAAGATCCTTGTTAATTTGCCTCTACCTTTCAGTTTTTACATTATGTTGCATTTGTGACCTCTTAGAAACTTGGCAACCTGGGAAACTTCATTTTCTTCTGATACAGAAGACAGCATATTATTTTTTACTTTTTTGTATCAAGAAATGTTAAATGTTTACAGCACGTATTGCATTACCTACTAAAAATAAACAATCAAAAAGCTATGACAAAATGTGATTAATTTTTTTATGGAGTACATTTTCACTTCTCTCCATAGTAATTTACATAGAATTAAGTCACGTAATATAAAATTTATTTATCATTTCTTTACAATGTAAAACCAGCAATATCCTTGTAGCTGGAAGCTATTTAAAGAATGTCTATTAAGAACATTTTAAGGTATGGATTATTTGTTTTACAGAAAGAGAAGTTTGCAGATGCTTATGTATTACAAAGCTTCATGAGGTCTTTCTGAATGATAAAATTAATCCTATTAAATTTTGCTAGTCTTCTAGTCTTTGATAGAGATACTTTGTGTTATTTTTGTGTACTTCTGCAAAGCAAATATACTTTAAAATAACACAAGCTGTGAGATTCTTGAACTTAGGAGATGGACAAAACAACAATGTTTTCATATTTGGAACAAATCAGAATAACTTGCAGAATATTATAACACTTCTGTGAGACAGAATATTGGCTTTTAATGCATATTTTTTCATAACCTGCAAATGTGTTTTTATAAATATGAAAGTGCTACACTTTGCAATCCGCTGCTGCATTTCTTCAGGTAAAATTGACTAATCTTCTTTTGTGTCTTTGTTCATAGTCTGAAACCAATCTCAGTAAAGAAATGGAATCTGTAATGAAAGATATAAAAAGTACCACACAGAAGAAGTATACAGATTATAGTAAAAGTCCTGGATCACCTGACAATGATTTTCTGTTTATGTATTCGGTAGCCAGGTGGGTATGTTTTTATGTTTTTTCTTTTGTGTTTCTCACTGATGGTATTACGCACCAGATAGTTTTCTTCTTTAAAAAAAAAATTTCCATCCTCTCCAAAAAGTACTGTTTGAGTACTTACAGAATCATAGAATCATTATAGTTGGA